ATTTATTTTTAATACATACATTTTAAATAACACTTCGCAACTGTTAAGATTATTTTCTCACTTCATCCCTAGGTGGAGCACCGTTTGAATCGTGTATGCTTCTATATAATAACAGGGTTGACACTGAAGAAGGACCATGCTTGCCTATTTCTCTTATGTAAAAGTACTTTAGCTGCCACTAAAATTGTTTTTGGGATGATAGTTGCCTATTTCCTATAAGTACGTCCAAGAATTTTGGTTGCTACTAAACCATAGAAAAACGTTGCACTTAGATTGTGCTTGTTATTTTAATGCATTTGATCTCAATGGATAATTTGTTTGGTTTAAAAGGAATAGAGAGAAAAAAGGGGAAAATAAAACCTTTTTATTTAGATAACAAAAAATTAAAAGAGATCATTTTTCCTTATATATTTTACTTTAATAGAATGTTTGAATTGAGGGGAATAGAAAGGAAGGGAGGAGAGTGGCGAAAAAATTTCTATTCAATAATTAAAAAAATTGAAGAGGAGGAAAGAGGAAGGAAGAAATTTCCTTTACTTTGTGTTTTCTTTTAAATTAGATACTTACCTAAATAAGGAGAAGGAATAGGAGGGAAAAATTTCCCCTCCTCTTCCCCTTAACCCAAATATAGGGTAAAGGTAATGTTATGGAGACAATTTCTTTGTTCAAAATTTTTATACAATTTTTATATATCATTAAATAAATAGATACATATAATATTATAGATTTTCGTGAAATAAAAGAGCTAATTATCCCCTCCTCTTCCCCTTAACCCAAATATAGGGTAAAGGTAATGTTATGGAGACAATTTCTTTGTTCAAAATTTTTATACAATTTTTATATATCATTAAATAAATAGATACATATAATATTATAGATTTTCGTGAAATAAAAGAGCTAATTATTAAATGATGTGTAGTGAGGTTCTATGAAAAGTTGTAGAAAAAAGCTTTCTTTCAATTATTTTCCTTACTTTAATCTTTTTAGTATTTTATTCTAACCAAACAAGGGAGTTGTCCTCCATTTCCCTCAAACTAAACAAGGAAAAAAAGAAAAATGAAAATTAAGATATCATGATAATTTTAAAATACTAAAATTTTATGCAAAATTATTCAAATATCCTCAAATGATTTTTTTCTTGTGTGTTAATTTATTAATGATATTAAAATTTTTTCATTATCATTCTTGTTATTTTAATTATTAGATGCTTTCATTTTTAGCAATCTCTTATATCAATATCCAAACTTTCATCACCCAAAAAATTGTTGTCTATAGGATTTTCATCCTCGAGATGCAGTGTTTATGATTCCATTTTTTCTTTTTCCATTTTTGTAGGTATAACACAGATATAATTGCCTACTTTTAAACATGTTAAAACTAAACCTAGCCGTTGCCTCTCCCTTTCTCTCCCAAATTCTCTCCGTTCTTCCTTGCTTCTCTTTCTTCCTTCTACCACCTCTCTCCCCTTTAGTGGTTAGGGAGGATGAATAAGTGAGAATTTCTCTCTCTGTTGTGAGAGTTCTTTTGTCTTCCCTTTTTAAGGGTCTTTCCTTGGGCTCTCTCGATCTTTTTCATTCAGTTTTGCTTTAGTTTGAAGAGGTCTACAATGTGGGGTTGGGGCTAGCCCAACCTGAACTAGTTGCATCACTTCCTCTAACTGTTGGTGGAATTATCGAGAGGCTGATGGAGACTCAAACTCTCTTTTGGATTAATTCAAGCATAGCTTCTTTGATTCTTGGAGTAGACTCCAACTCTCTTTTGGACTGGTGCATCTCTTCTTTGATATGGTATTTAGTGGGTGGGGATTACTGTTTGTCAAACTACCTACTCTCCCCAAGAAGCTAGCATAGCAATTGAGAATGTTCAGTACTTAGGATAGTTATAATGACTTTCTTTCTATGTGTGTAGTTTTGTTTATACCCTACAGTAATTGCTATTGTAATTTTTAAGTGCAGATGACCCTTTATATTTAACTATTTATATTTGTTATGGGTATAGTTTTCTTTTGTATCTATTGTTGTAAGATATGTTTCTGCTTCAACTATAATTAAATTGTAATATATGAATTCATTTATAATCTTGATTTCATTATTTTAATTAATATACACTCTATTTTTTATTTAAAAAACCTAATTTTAATTTTAATATATATAGTCCAAATATCCAAACTCCAGTAAGGCAATTTGCAATTGGTAGAGAATTCAACAAAAATTGACAATATATAATAGATAAACTTATCAACCTGTTCTCTTGATCATCCTTAGGGAAAAAAAAAAAAAAGAATTAATTACAAAAACAAATTGACCAATGTCCAAACTTTCATCACCCAAACTTGGTCTTGTTTGGTTGCGTCAATTCATGGAGGATATGGTCTGCATTCTATCTATGGTGGAGGGTGGGGACTCTCTAAAAGCAACGCGCGCACTGTGATATGATGGAGCCATGTGTTGACTCATATATGAAAGGGATGGGTATTCCCCTTATACCCTTTTGAATAAAAATTTCTCTATTTACTTACTAAAAACAAAAACTTAATTTCATTGCTAAAAATGCTGGTTGTATTACTTTATCTTCAAGATGCATGTTTTGTCTCATATTTTTCTTTAATTATCTTTTTAGGTAGGACGTATAATTGTTTGTTTTTAAACTTACTTTTTATTTCATCATATAATTCAAACTCTTGATGATGAAGGTGATTTGAAATTGGCTAAAAGGAGGAAGGAGGAAGCAAACGGAAAAAAAAAGAAGAAAAAAAGAAGAAGACATTTTTCTGGAAATCTCTGCGGCTGCATATATAACTAAGGCTTTTCTTCAAGGGAAATCTAATGTAGTAATGTTGGTCCAACAGATTACTGGAAAGAAGCAAGGAGTTCACATTGGAAAGATAAAATTAAACCAAAGTAGATAAAAGGCATTTTATTTTATATGCTTTTAATTTTTTTTCCCATCAAATATTAAACATAGGCATACCGCACACACATATAATAACTTGAGCAGTACATGATTAAATCCTCTGCTTTCACATATGATAAGCAGAGGACTCTCTCTATATCCAAGTTACTGCAATGGGACTTCGGACCATGTATTTCCCAGACACCCATGTTAGAGATCCAAAACATGAGTTCTCAGATTCAATGATTCGTTTTATTGTTGTGAAACTCACCTTATACCCCAATTTCTCACCATGCGTCTTAAAACTTAAAATGCTAGGGTTCACCCTAACTGATATTCCTTTGGGTTCTTGTACCTGCACTTTGTAAGTACCTATTGGAGGATTTCCAACATTTGTGACAGTTCTTCTATATGTAATGGTAACATTATGGGCATCACTCTTGAAACGCACTACAAAGGAAGGGTAGTTTAGATCTCCAGGCTGCATGGTTGTCCCTTTGGGGCATGTGAAATTCTGATCAAATCTGGCTATTTGAGAAGAATTATACTTGAGGCTGCACAAGTGAAGTAAATACTCAAGAGGGTGGATATCATATAATAATCCTGGATCAGAAGCTTTCTGAATATCAACATGGCCTGAACCAATTGCAAAAGGTGTCGCAGGGCCACCATGATAAACATCCTTGATTGGACTCCCTCTATTATCCAAATTATAAGCGGTTGTCATCATGGCTGATTTAACTGCTGCTGGCGACCATTCTTTGTGCCTTGACACAAGCAATGCTGCTAGACCACTAACATGAGGGCAAGCCATTGAAGTCCCTGACAGTAAATTGAACAGAACCCTTCTTTTGTCACCCTCCTCCTCAGATGGGCTCGTTATACCTGGCCACGCTGCTAATATGTTCACCCCTGGTGCAGTCAAGTCTGGTTTGAGCAGGTTGAGATCGACTAGATTTGGCCCTCTTGATGAAAATGCGGCCATCATTGGTGCGCGCTTTCCATAAGCGGTTCCTTTGAAAGTTAGGGAAGCTGTAGGTGATTTTGTAGTATTCAAATAACTTAGTATGGCCTTTCTTGCCATGTCTCCCACAGAAACTGCGGGAGACATAGGAGGATAAGCAAGAAAATCTAAACCCTCATAGTGTAAGATGACCGTGCCAACTCCTCCTTCCAACTTCACATGCTCTGTTATTTGATATTCACCATATCCTCCTCCTAGTTCACAAACAACCACCTTTCCTTTTACAAGCTTCGGGCTAAGTGACCCTGGAATGCAATACTGAGCAAATTTTTTCCCTGCAGTTGGTCCATACACAATTGGAGATTCTTTTAATGACTTGCCAGGGTACAAAGATATCCCTTCAAAACTTTGTCCATTTCCAAGCTTGACAATTGCGGGGAAGCTTCTATCAATGTAGCTCGCAGCAACTGTCATGAGCCATGGTGCAGTGTTGACAACAGTACGCGGGCCTTTATTTCCAGCTGAAAGTGAAAAAAAGATCCCTCGTTGGATTCCAGAGAATGCTGCTTGAGCAATGAGATCATCAAAATATGGGATAACTCCTTTTCTAAGTCCTAATGATATGGACACTACGTCCACTCCATCTTTAATTGCTTGATCAATGGCAGCGAGAATATCAGAACTAGCACAATTGGCAGGTGCTTCCCAACAAACTTTATATGCTGCGATTCTTGATGTGTACCTCATTCCAGTTGCCACCCCATTGGCTAGGCCGTAAAAGCTTGCGTTCTGTACAAGATTGCCGCCAGCTGTTGATGCACAGTGAGTTCCATGACCATTTGTTGCTCTGGGGGACTTAAAATTTGCAGTTTCATTGACTTTGCCATGGAAGGCTTCGTACCCTTTGAAGAAATATCTGGCACCAATAAGCTTGCGGTTGCAATTTAATGGGGAGAAGTTTGTACCGCTCTCACAAGCACCTTTCCATTTAGCTGGTACTGGACCAAAACCATGGTCCTGAAAACTGGGATGTTCAGGCCAGATACCGGCATCTATGACGCCAATTATCACATCAGACTCCAGATTTGAAGCATGCCAGAGTCCTTTGCCCTGTTCTAGGCCAAGAAACTTGTAACTGTATGTGGTGTGAAGGCGCATTGATCCGTCAGGAATGACGGCCATAAAAGCATCCATGTTTCTTATTGATTCTAGGTGCATGGGGGAAAGCTTGGCAGCAAAACCAAAGATTGCAGTGTCATATGCATAAAATAAGCGGGGAGGTGGTGTTGCTTCTGAATCAGGGGAGAGTTGGTAGATTGAATCAAGCATTTCTTCAAACATTTCTTTGGAATTAGCTGCGGAAAGATAAGAGGTTTTCATCTTGGACTTGTCCATGTGAACAATGTATGTCCGACTGTCCACTGAAGCAACTGAATTTGTGGCCATGAATGCCACCAACACCAACGTCATCATTCCATCTCTGAAGATCCTCTGAACTGCCAGTAAAAAAAAAAAAAAAAAAGTAATTTGTTAATTTCTCGGTAAAATTCGGCCCTGTTTACCATGGCAAAACGTGGAAGGTTGGTGTTGGGCCGAAAAAAAAGAAAAAACTTAGTAATATGTGTATTGATGCATGAAAGGAAAATAGGAATTTACCTGTTTGAGTTCCCATGTTTTTAAGGTACTAGAAGTAGAAGGAAGGGATGAGGAGTTAATTGCCTTGGCAGCCATTTTTTATAGGGGCAGGCGTGGGACAGGAGGATTAATGAATTATTGGTAGGTCCCAATAAGGATTAGAGGAGGGCAGGATCAACCGGGGATTAATGAAATATTATTTGGTATCAATGAGGATAAGTTTTTGGAAAGGTAATGTAGGACTTGACAGATGGTGGAGCCCCGTCTGCAGCGTGTATACTGTTGGAAAATAGTAGCACAAAACTAAAAAATAATATAACAAAGAAAGCGGACAACAAATTAATAAGGCGTATGAAACAACAATAAATAATTAAATAATAGAATCAAATACAATTTATAGAAAAAAAAAAGAGTTTAAAATGGCTTGAGTTGAAGCACATAATAATGTTATTTTTAGAGAAATTAAATATGTCCTTATTACACTGGTAATTTGATGAATATTCTCCTCTTCTAAGATATGACAACCCACCGGATCATTTTGACTGCAGTAAAAATATTCTTGAACCACTACTTGATCCGAAGCTCACACCAATTTATGAATAAACAGGGCTTAAAGCTAAAAGAAATCTTAAGTTTCAATAGAGGTTATTTATGCACAGGAGGTGTGAAATTGCGGTGAAAAGAGAGGAAAGCCGCTTCATGGGAAATCCGAAATAAAATAATGATGATTATCTCAAAAGTCTAATGATCTTATCCTCTTGTTTGAAAAATAAAACAAACTAGTGAGATTTTCCAGTGATAACGAAAGATTACGTGACAATAAATCTTTGACCAAGTAAAATTTTTTCATCCATGTTTAATTATGTTGTAGGTAGGGGTGACAAAGGGTCCCCTGAGGTGGAGGAATCCTTCCCATCCTCATATCCGTGAATGAAGGGTAGGAATTCTTATAGAAATTTTTGACAAAAGGGAAATTTTGTCCCTCATCTCCATTTCTTATGGTGATTAGGGAAATTTGTCATCTTTAATTATAAGTTGTGTGGATTAATTTTTTTAAATAATTAATTATTGATAATTGATATTTAATAATTATTAATGATTAATATTTATATTTAAAATATTTAACTTATGTGATTAATGTTTCGTTGGATAATATTATTTAATATTTCATTTTTTAATTTTTATATTTTTATTATTTTAAAAATATATAAAATATTAATTAAAATAAATATTAAATATATTATATATATTTTTAAGATATTAAAAAATTAAAAAACGTACCATTATAATTACAGATAGTGTTATTAAATTAAATCTAAAACTAATAATTTTTTTTTACAATAGAGTGAAACTCAAATTTTATACTACCAAATTTAACATAAAAAATCTTTAATAAAAAAAATGACCACTAAATCACAAAAACATTATCAAACCTAAAACTAATAATTAATAACTCTTTTCAATAAATCAAAATAAATGTTCCTTTGACTAAGTAAAATATAAAATATTAAATCAAATATTCCAACATATACCCTCATATAACAACAGTATTGACACAGTAGGGGGACCAGGCCATGCTTGCCTATTTCCTCATGTTTAGTGATTTTAGCTGCCACTAAAAATGTTTTTGGGACGATAGTTGCCTATTTCCTATAAGTCCAAGAATTTTTTTATTTGATAAGTCCAATAATTTTTTTTATTTGATAAGTCCAAGAATTTTAGTTGCTATTAAACCATAGAAAAATGTTGCTCTTAGATTGTGCGTGTCATTTTAATGCAGCCGATTTCAATAGATAATTTGTTTGGTTTAGGAAAAATGAAGAGGAAAAAAGAGAAGATGGAAAATTGTTTTTAATTAGATAAAAAAAAATTTAATGATTCTATTGCCACCGTACTTAAGACCCACAATCAATTGTCTACGATTGGAGAAGATGATGTTCCTGAAGAAACCAATCCGTTGGCTACAGTCGAAAGGTGCAGATATTCCAGAGCCATGGGGAATGACCACATCTCAGCAGGGTTAAGGCAAAAGATGGATTCGGCCAAGTTGTAGAAGACAAGGTGGATTGCCAGTCCTGGAACCTCCTTACTGCAAGTTTTCTTATATTTTACCTGAATAAAATAAGGACCCTACTAGGCATTTAAGGTTTGGCCATTGAGGAAACATAATTTTTCATTATGTAATTTAGACCGTTAGTAAGTACTGAGATATGAGATGATAGGAGAAAGCAATCTGTAAGTAGTCTTCTGTTACAATGGATAAAGTTTAACATCTCACTCAGGATTGGTGGTATTTGACTGACCACAGGGAGAGCAACATGAACATCCCAACTCTGGTATGAAAACCATATGTATGATATTATAATTATAATCTTGCTTCGCTATACTGATTCCACTGGTGGGAATCTAGTCACGGTGTGATAATTCTATCATGGGATTATGCTTACGCTAACAGTAGAAAGGAAAGGAATAACCTAAGGATAGGATTTACTAATAAGTAAATATCGTTTTAAAAGCTTGAGATTAACATTTAAGAAAATTAACTTTCATAAATACATTAGATTGATATTAGATATGTGTTCTTAAGATTGTCTAAGAAAGGGACTCTTGAATAAAATTTTTATTGTCAATAAAAAAATATAATGATAAGGTAAGGATAAAAGTAGTTTCATGATGTTATGCTTAAGTTCTTAACTACACAAATAGAATGCATAAATCAAATAGCATGTTACATTTCATCATTACATGTATTTTGTCAACATGCATGCTGAACCCCCACGAAACAGGGGTTCTGCATATTCATGCCCTAATCATAACTGTGATAGTTCAAATCTGACCTATTTGGGGTCCCAGATGATGGATGATTAGTTTCAAATCATACAAAAAACATTACTCAATTAGTTTTATAGGAAATTCTGAGTGCACATCAGGATCAGTTCAGAATTTTCCTGTATCTCCACTCAACAGCCAGCCCTGTCCACTATAAGTTAGCAAATGCTTAATATATAGGTATTACTATATATTTTAAACTTTAGTAGGTTCATCTTTAAGTATTTTCCTAAAGCACTAAAAGATAAAGCAAAATCCATAGTGCTGTTTTGCAGGAAAAGTGATTGCATTCTTTATAAAGGTCCATTGCTCATTGCCTGTGTGCATACCTACTCGCACTAGAATTTCAACATTTTATTTGGCCTTCGGTGATTAGCTTGGACTTCAAAAACCTAATCTGATAGTATCTAGACTGCTAAATAATGGCATCAGAATATGCTGGTGTCACACCGAGCATTAAGTAGTAGTGCCACCTGTTTTGGTTACTTCACAAACTCTAAGCTCCCATGCTTGCTTGAACAGTTTTGGTACTTGAAAACCCAAGGAAGTGTCTTCAGAAAAAGTACTCTGATGCTTAAATTAGCAATAATTACTTGTTCTAAAGAGAGAAGTTATCATGAAACTGCATATTGTAAAAAGAGAAATGTAATGAAAGTTATTATCTTTGATGAAGGTAGAAGACGGATATTTATAATCCTCATTTATGACACCAAATACTGCATGTCATCATCCCATTCGTCCACGTGCTACCAGTCATGTGGGTAAATTTTCCATTATTGAAGTCATTGTTTGAGCCGTTATTACGTTCGTTGGCCAAATGACTGACTTTAGGTCAATGTTAGGATATCTCCCCAACACCACCTTTTATAAGGTAAAGGGACCAATATAAGTGACCCGAGGCACATCGAACATTATTATTGATAGGCTAATCTTTTGGGTTGAAGTCTAACACGTAAGTTTAGGAAGTAGCAATAGCTATTGTTTTTGACTTTTTGTTTGTTTATACTTAATGATACGAGCACAAACAGAGCAATTGCATTTCATACACAGTTGATGCACCAAACAAGATATACTTAATTATATGCCTCATAGATAATTGTTTTTAACTGTACAATACAAAGGAGGTTGTTTCACCAGAAAATCACCAACAATCCTTATCAAATATCAAATTTCCAACACACAATTCAACCCACTCAAACAAAAACTTTCCTTATGGTTCATAAAATGAAGCAAAAGCGTAGTATGGGGGAAATTGCAATTGTAATTTACTAATTAAGGCTCAAAAGAAGGAGCGTTTAACTGGAGCTCTTCCAACAGCTCTCATCAAATTGGCCAATTCAAGAACTCTGGCCACTTTGGTTCTGCTCTTTGCTTCTGTTGATGCCCTTCTCTCCTCTGCTTTTCTGTGTGCTTTCGTCACATCATTCTGCATCTTCCCTAGAGCTCTTGCTCTATTCTCCTCTAGCTTTCTCTATACAAAACAAAACCAAATTGAAATTTGAGAAGAATGGTTCCAAAAACCCTCTTAGTTTTTCAACGTGGGATGGATACATTAACTCAACATGTCTTTTAATCACTTGACCAATACCATTAAGCAAACATGTGGTAAAAATTGGATCATAGAACAAGTCTACTTGTTTTCTTGGGTATAGTCATGGAATCATAGAATCATCAATATTCTAAGTAATTCCTATTATGATCAGTGCTAATCACTACCATGGTTATGCCGCGATGATGATTAATCTTTTGCATGAAACATAACAAACAAATTAACTTAAAACCCTAAACATCAAAGAGAAAAAAACAAGGACAAAACGTAGATTTTTTTAGTCGTAGTCTATGTACCTCAACTTTTTTCATCCAGGAAGTGGCCTTTTGCACTTGTTCACTCTCCCACCCATTAATGATTGCATCTTCTCTCTTAAACTGTTATTAATCTTTGCAACTTTTGTGCTTTGCCATGCAGAAATCTTGGACTCCACCTCCTCTTTCTTCACCCTCAAAACAGAGACTTCACCCTGACCAGTGATCACCACTGCCGACAGAGGCCCCTGGCTCTGGCCGCCTCTGTTCCGGACGTTGGTCCAAAGGGGAATTATCAGAAACTAAGCCAACGGATTGGTTTCTTCAGGAACATCATCTTCTCCAATCCTAGACAACTGTTTGTGGGTGTTAAGTACGGTTGCAATGGAATCATTTTTATCATTTTAATTATCAAAACATTTTAATTTTTTTACAGTCTCTTATAACAATGTCCAAACTTTCGTGGCCCAAACCTTCTCTTGTTTCATTTCAGGTACTGTTCAAACAAAATCTTCTCTTGTTTGGTTGCATCAATTCAAGGAGGATATGGTCAGCATCCTATCTATGGTGGCGACTCTCTAAAAGCAATGCATTGTGATGTGATGGAGCCGTGTGTTGATTCAATGTAAAGGGAATGGGTATCCTTAAATCCTTTGATTAAAATTTTCTTTATTCTCAGATTAAAAATAAAAAATGAATTTCATTACTCAAAAAGTTGTTGTTTGCATTACTCTATTTTCAAGATACATGTATTGTCTCATATTTTCTTTGATTATCTTTTTAATTTAATCATCTTTTTAAGTAGAATACATAATTGTTTGTTTTTAAATTTATTTTTCATTTTATTATACAATTCAAACTCCTAAAAATTAGTGTGATTTAGAATTAGTCTAGAATCTAACAAAAATTGCTTACAATTTTGATTCCATTGATAATGGATATATTGTTGCTATCTTCCTTTAATAATCAACCATATCAAACCTCTTGAACATCTTTAGAATAAAAACAACTACAAGCGTGGAAAATATACTAATATCACGACTTTCATCACCCAAAGGTTAGTGGCAAAACCACTTTTAAAGTCCCTGAATTTTTCCAACTATAAATAACCAGCCCTTGAACTAAAACATGAGCAAAGCAAATAAGCCCTTAAACCCCAACATCGGAGCAAATTTGCCCCACTACAAGCGGAGTTCCATGACGCTGTGTTGAATGGCTTGCATGGCATTGCCTGTACATGTCTCTTTCTTGCCTTTCCCTCGTTTGTTTTAAGTGATAATATATATTTTTATTAATTAATTAATATTATACAATATACATATTGTTATATGACATTTTTTTACTAAAATCATGAAATGTTTTTTTTTTTTAAATTTTAATCAATAATGCATTTTACTTTAATAATCTTCTTAAATCAATTCTTAAATTTATTAAAAGACCTATTAAAAGAGAATTTTTTTAACATGTTACTTATTTTTCCATTAATTATTATGAAAGAGTTTTTCTAATCTTTTCTCTTAGGTCATATTAGGATAACAAAATACATTTTTTATTATAATTTATTGAAAGAGTAAATATTGATATTCAATTTACATGACAATAATATTAAAATTAATAGAACCATGATTGGTGTACATCCGAATTCAACATCCGGGTGTGCACCCCTCATATATAAAAAAAAAAAATGAACTGGGTGTTCTCCATTTTTTTTTTATATGGAGTGTGCACACCCGAGTGTTGAATCCGGGTGTGCACACATCATTTTTCAAATTAATATCAGTTTATATATTTTTTTATATACATTAATAACAAAAAAGACCCCTAAAGGCAAAAATTGAGACGTCTTGACAATATCTTAGGATTTTTTGTAAAATTATTCAAATATTTTTAATGAAAATTTAATTGTGTTGATTCTTTTAAAATACTTTAATATTTTTATTATCATTTATAATATTTTAACTACCTTTCAATCACTTTTAAGGAAAACAAAAAGCTATAAAATCTCGATCTCGAAGACTAAATGGAACAGAAACTTATATTTTTAAACGATCGAAAGATCAAGCACCATTGATTTGGATCTTAACCTTTCCTGTAAATCAAAACCCAAAAGAAAATAGCATCAAAACAAATCAAAAACTGTGAAAAAAAATTTGAATCCAGATGTGATCTAATGAAATAAAAAAAAATGAAATTAATTCCATTATTGTAGACGAAGTATAAACTAAATGAAAATCGAAATTCAAAAATATAAATTTCAGAAAAAAAAGAACCCATTCTTGCTGTTTCAGATCTGGTGGTGAAAATCTTATTCAATCAAACAATTTGTAAGGTTTTAAAACCAGATATCAAGAGCGTCAATCAATGGGGTTTAAGCGTTCAAGCTCGGTGACACTTCATTGGTCTTCTTGCCGTCGCGCATAACAGTAGAAAGAATTAGAAGAAATTGATTGTATTCTTCCTTGAATCATTCTGTACAATGATTTGATGTATATATATATTTACATGTAAATGTTTAGATCCTAAATTAGTGCCTAGTATTGAGCAATACTACCGTTGCTATACATTTTGACCGTTGCAACTATTGCTCGGATCAGTCTTTGATTGCTTTGATATGGTTTCCTGCTTGGACGTGATTTCCGTATCTGTTGTGATTGTTTCCTTACTCATCCTCTGCTGTGATTCTGCCTTCATAGCGCAATGGGTTGACTCAATGGTGTTCGCACTGTTGCACGATGGCTTCCATCTTGCCGTTGCGCGATTTGTGAGCCCTAGATTCCTTCTTGACAATGGAGCCTAGCACTGTAACTTGATGGTGAGTTAACCCAGGTGCTTTTGGAACTTGTTCTAGGGTTTACAGAGCATTTGGGATTTTTTTTTTCCCATTTTTGATTGGGTAATTTACAAAATTTGCCTTAAAAGATACATTAGATCAAAGTAGTAAATACTGTACCGGCATGCGTATCGGTTTTGTTACTGAAACGATACGTACCGAATACCAAAATTTTTTGCGTACCGTTTTAGATTTATCGCTATAAATATATATTTTTATAAAGTAAATATCAAATTTTAAAATAAAATAAGAGATACTAATATTTAAAACTATTATATTCTTATTGTGTACGCAGCAGTCTTCGTTGGGAGACCCACCCACCATTCTGGTGCGCCACAGCTGGTCAAATTCGGAGTAGTCGGGGCGAAGCCCCGGATACCGGATGGGGAACCAAAAAAAATTATATTCTTATAAATTAAAAATAAGTTTAAAATGATAATTTTTAATCCCTTAACTTTTAATATATACATATTTTTTGTCCATCCATTTTAAATTAAGGGATTAAAAATGTGTGTATTTAAAAAAATTAATAGAGTAATTAATAGAAAGACTAAAAGAAAATATGAAGAATGGACTAAAAAAGTATATAAAAAAACTAAAGGATGAAAATTATATAAAATATTAAAGTTGAGGACTAAAAATGAAATTTACCTTTTTTAAATTTGAATTGATTTGAATTGTAGCGGGCAACTGTACCAAAAAAATGGAAGATTGACAAGTCAAGACCGTTGGAAATGGATACTGATCACGGAGGAAGGAGACGGCATGGCAATGGCAACTCGGCAACCGGTTTCAAGGATTTCGCGAACAGACTGCCAGCTTTTGACAGAGGATTACTAAAGCAATGTGAATCGTTCCATTTTGTTAACTTTCCTGAGGACTGGGGGGCGAAGCAATTGTTTTACTTCATCAGAACGATCGTAAAGGCAGGTAGACTCTGGTACATTTTCATTCCCAGCAAGAGAGACAGAAGAGGCAACAGGTATGGTTTTGCCAGATTTTTAGACGCGAGGAATGAGCAGGAGATGAAGAAGCAACTGGGAAATATATGGATTGGTAACCAAAGGGTGGTTTTCAACTCGGCTGTGGAAAGAAGAAAGGAGAAGAGAAGTATGGAAGCAAAACCAGCAGAGGAAGCAAGTTGGAAAAGTAACAAAAGGACAATCACTGCTGAAGACAAGAATACAATGGAAGAAGGGAGTAGGAAGATTCCAAGAATGACATACGCGCAATGCCTTCTCCAGCAGAAAGAAATGGCAAACTCCACCGAAACAGGAAACAAAGATCCAACACCATCAGAGTCAAAAGAATTTCCAAGGAGGTCTATCAAAGGAACGCCCAAGACTCCCAGTGTGAGTCGGCCTCTGTACAAAAAGGTGATTGAGCTAAAGGACACAGATGAAGCTGAAGATAAACTGATGAAGTGTGCAATTGGGGTGGTGTTAACTCCATCTATCATCCCAAACCTCCCAGAAATTTTCTTTAATGAAGGTTTCCCTTCAATCAAAATTGCCCCTATGGGAGGTAATCTTGTTTTAATCGATGATGAGGATCCGGAGCATGTTAAGGAGTTGGTAGATGGGAACTTACAGTGGGTGGCAGCTTATTTTGATAGAGTTAAGTACTGGGCTCCATCAGACATTGCAGAAGAAAGATTTGTGTGGGTGAGAATCCAGGGGTTACCTATACATGCCTGGTCTAAAGAAAGCTTATCAACGATCGGTAACCATGTGGGTAAACTGGTTTCAATTGATGAGTATACACTCTCTAAGGAATGCCTGGATGCAGCAAGAATTTTAGTCTCCACCAAGTCCAAATTGGCGATAAATGAAGACTTCATCCTCAAAGTGAAGAATAATAGCTTTCACATTGCTGTAGTGGAGGAAAATTGGAGGACTGATCCATGGTGGCT